CAATCAATTTATCAGTTAAACATATAAATCTCTTACTACTTGAGTAGTGAAGTGAATGAAATTATCGAATACTATTGAGGTGGAGAAAGGGTTAGAAGGTAATTTATGAGAGGCCTAAATAGGCACCATGAAATGAAAAGTGAACAAAGAAGGCATTTTAGGACATGATAAATGATAAAATTTCTTATCAGTTATAATTATCAATTTGCAATCGCTACTTAATCTTCTAATGTTCTGAGATGCGCTTGTAATACTGTACATTTAAAACTTTTACTTTTTAATGTAATCATTTTTTTCCTTTTCTCTCATTTTTCTTTCTTCAAATTTAAATTATACATTTTTCCATTTGTACAATAACTATCGTTTCTTAAAACAATAATGAATTTTCGAAAGTTCAAAAGTTCAATTTAGTTTTAATTATTAATTTTAGTTAAAGTAATTTAGTAAATAAATTAAATTAGATTAAAATAAAAAAATTAACTTTTAAAAAGACAAAATTTCAGCCATTTCAATGCCTAAAATTCGACTTTTCGGTCTAAAATGCCTGAAATTATAAGCCTGAAATGGTTTTATTTATGTTTTCTCTTCAGAGAAATAAATAATATTTATTGTCTAGCAATTTGTTGTTTATAAATCTGAGTCAGTCAATAAGAATTAATTAAAAATTTCGAAACTAAAAAGATAAATTAACCGATAAGTTGAAAAGAAAATAAAAGGATAAACAAATAAATCGCATGGATAACAATCGTAGATGCATAAGCAAATGAATAAAGAATTAATGAAATTGAAATGAGTGAACTAATTAAATTAATTTTAATTAATTATTGAAATTTTAAATGAATCAGCTAGAATTTTAAAAATTCTAGCTGTTTGGATGGAAAAATTAAACTTTGCGTTTATTATTAGTTTATGTGGATACAAGCAGAGAGAAAGAATGAAAAAACGCTCACATATTTACCATAATTATGAATCATTATAAAGAGGAATAATTATGATTTCATATTTGAAAATCAGACTTTCCCTTTCCACAATCATTCATTTATTCAATGATAATGATAATGATAGTGATAAGGATAAAAATTGATGTGATGAGAAGAGAAACAAACAAATACAAATTTGAATTGCTATTTTTTTAAGTGAAAATAATTTTTGGAAAATTTTTTTTAGCAACACTAATTCATTGTAATTTTATTTAAACAATAATAATTAAATTTTATAAATTAAAAAAAAAATAATTTATTTTCTGGTATAAGAGGAAAACGAAACGAAATGAAAGAAGCAAAATATAAAGAGAGCAAATTTTTTGAAAACTAAAAAATAACATATGATATGAAAACGTATGGCAACAACAATTTCTATTTGTTACAAATATGAAATCATTTAACATATGAATCATATGAAAATTATGAGAATTCAACATTATGAATTTAAAAATTAGAATTTGTTTATGTGAAATTAATTTAGATTTCAAAATTAGAATTTGTGTACGTGAAATTAATTTAGATTTCAAAATTAGAATTTGTGTACGTGAAATTAATTAACATGAAAGATTAATTAGAAAAATAATCCATAAATAAGATGTTAGTTATTATTATTTGTAATATAATTTGGATATTTTGTTCGTATTGTAATTTAAAGTTTGTAAGAGAAATTTTAATAAATGAATTTTAGAAGATCTTTTTTTTGAAATTAAATTTTAGTAAATGGAAAAAAGTAAATAGTTGTGGAAGGAAGGGAGAAATTTTTGTTCGTTTAAATTTCGAAGTAGCCTGCCTATAAATGCTCCACCAACCCTTTGATAGAATTATCATTAATCATTTGATAGAATGGACTTTGGTTTTTATTGTTGTTTAAATATTATAAACTTTGTGTTATCAATCATCTGTTCGAAAATTTATACGTTTTATAAGATAGCAAATCGAGCAATATTTTATCTGATAAGTTACTTGATCATTTCATATTTCGGATCCGATCGAAGAATTTAATTTACTATTTTTATAATTCATTTCTATTATGATTATTGGCATAAGTTAACTGGAACGAATAATTTAAATATTTTATTCCTATTCGAAATACATCAATCAGCCCTGAATTTAATTCGTCTATTTATGAATTTTTGGTGATAATGATTATATGTCAAAGATTACAAATCATTTATCGCATAAATACTAGTAGTATGACAGTTCATTGACAGTTGATGAAATACCTGTAATTCGTAGCATTATTGTTTTTTTTCTTACCCACCTGGATAATTCGTTTTTAATCTAGTTACTAAAATATTGCAATAATTATAAAAAGAAAAATAATTAATAAATTGCAAAGCATAAAATAATTATATGGCAAATTAAATGGCTTAGTGTACGAAATTAAGTGAAATAATTAATTGTAAATAATCAAAATAAAGTACTTCAGCGGCTTCCACTAATTTGACTTTACAATGACCACTAAAAAAATTCTAAATTTTCCTTTGCAATTCAAACGCATGCCGACTTTATTGCATTATGTACGCTGCATTAATTTTTTGGGAAGTAATTAATCAAGCAATTTTTGTTTTTGAAGTTTTAAAAATTATAAATACCTTGCAACAATTATAAAGGTAACCTGTAAAGGTAATCTGTAAAGGTGACAAATAAAAATGATGCGATTATAAACTTTGTTTTTGAAGCTTTAAAAAATTACAAATAGCTTGCAACAATTGTAAAGGTAATCTGTAAAGGTGATAAATAAAAATGATGCGATTATAAACTTTGCTTTTGAAGTTTTAAAAAATTACAAATAGCTTGCAACAATTGTAAAGGTAATCTGTAAAGGTGTCAAATAAGAATGACGTGATTATAAGCAAGAAAGAAATTAAATTAAATAACTCTTTCTTTTGAAATTTTAAAAAGTAAGCAAAGAATTAAAAATTAATATTCTTTTTGTAGAAATCTATAATTTGTAGAAGAGATATTTAAAACACATATTTTATATTTGTATACTATATATATATAATTTATTGGATGTATTAAAATTATTGGATTATTTAAGTTTTTAATTAAAGATTGTAATCGATTTATTATAATGGAAATATTGGAAAAAAATCAGAAAAGAAATAAATTATTGTAATTTAAGAATAAATAAAATAAATATTAATTTAGAATAAATAAATACTAATTTATTTTAATAATTTCGATGTATGTCTAAAATAAAATTATCAAGTTATTAATTTGCATACGATAGTTTTCCTTCTAATTATTGATACTAACACAAAATTAACATGATTTAATATATTATTGTTAAATTGAAATTTGATCATTCTTTCTTTAGATTTCGTATAATGGTACTTCCTGAGAAGTTAAATAAGATCTATGGTACCATCGAATATTTCGAATATTTCGGTTGTACTATTGTAAATATTGAATATTGCGATTTTATTATAATTTTTCATTAAATAAGTAGAAAGGATATGACTTTTTAATTGATACCTAATTTAACCTGTGTAGAAATGAAAAACGAGATCTAGTTTCATTTTTTTTTCAGTTTCATTTTTTCTTCACGTTATTTTTGTTTTAAGATATTAATTAATGAAAATTAGTCTAATAGTCTGCACAATTCTTAAAGAAGAAATCAAACTTTTTTAGTTTAATTTTTGCCGATATTCTAAGAAGTACCAATTGCATGAATTAAATTTTGTTTTTGTTCCACAATATTTTTAGTATAAATACATATATATACCAATATTTAAATTATATATATAGTCTGATACTGTCGATGTTTTTGAAAATTCAAACTCTTGATTATAACATAATATCAAACATCAATTATGTTGTACAGAATTATACGAAAGTACACTGTAGTAAATTATATATGTTAATGAATGTTAATGAAAATATGTTAATGTTAATGAAATATATGTTAATGAAGTTTATTTAAGTTAAAATATTTTCGTACTAAAATTTCATATTTCCATTTCAAATACTATTTCAATTTACAGATACATAGCAATATTTCGAAGAGTTGTCCAAAAAAATTTTTCTAATGTCGACGTCGTAAACTTGCCGCTAATGCAAGTTTCTGATACGGTTGTATCGTTTGTGTTTCATCCAATTTTCCCTACAAATAATATTCAAATTTTACATCACTTAAAACTTTTGTAATTAAAACTTTTTCAAAAGCTTTATTTTCCAATGATTAGAAGATTTTTTCATTTTTTTATAAGACAAAAATTTATTAGCCTTACTTTAGCACCAGGAAAGCTGTCTCCAAGTGCCTCTCCTTCTTCACCTGAAAATGAAACAATTAATAATTAAGAGAGGAATTGTTCTATTCGAATGTTCTAGCGAATCCATTTCCTGTTTCTATTCAAAATATTCACAAGATTTTGTAAGATGAACAAATATAATTTGAAAAGGTTCTAGCTTAATAATGTTTTGTTGTTCCAAATGAATTTTGTTCCGATGAATTTTGCTTCTTATCCAACATTATTTTTCGTACTCAAATAAAGGTTAGCAAGTGATACTAATTGCTAATTGAAGAACTTGAATTTTGGTCCATAAAATTTTCCCTCATTAGTTTACTTTGTCATAACAAATGATGATATCATTTGGAATAACTATAAAATATAGTCGTTTATAGCTCTTCATATGTTTATTTGTTTACTAATAAATTTTAAAATATTTTTCAAAACAATTATAGTATAAAAAGATTAGTTAACATTCTACATTGCGTGCGAAAGTTTAGGATTATTCATTGATATATTTTGATAATCATTAACCATTTAGTGGACGTGTTGCTGGTGGTTTATCAGCAATTTTTGACACTTCATCGGGTTTTCCTTTTGATTCAATTTTTGAACCTTCTAATTCAATCTTTGGATGAACACCTATCGGTCCATTGCCATCTTCTTCAGCTTTACCGCCCGATGATGGTTGTTTGAAATCATATCCGTCACCACGCCCTTTATCACCCCGTATAGGACAAGGACAGTATTCCGCATCACCACCTAAGAAATAAGAATTAATTGCAAAAGATTATGGAAATCATGTAATTGCATGATTGAAATGTGTAATGGGATACCTGTTATTCCTGGTAGTCCAGTTGGTCCAGAAATGCCCCTTGGTCCTTCTACTCCTTTTGGTCCAGGACGTCCAGGTTCTCCAGGCAATCCTTTATAAAGCAATATTTCTCATAATGTTTTTAATCAATTAAAAAATTCAAAAATTTTAGTTTACTCTAATTTATGACTACCTATTGCGCCTTCATCGCCTCGTTCGCCAGGTGGACCTTGATCTCCTTCTGGTCCTACTGGTCCAATATCGCCTTTTTTGCCAGGTGGCCCATGAATACATTGATAACCACTTTGTCCGGGTTCACCTATTACAAAATGTTATTTTATCACAACGAATTAAGAAACTGAAAATACGCCTTAAATTGCTTACCATCTTCACCAGGAGGACCTTGTGGTCCAGCTTGACCAATATCACCTTCAGGTCCTTCTTCACCATCCGCTCCATTACGTCCTTAAAGTGTAAAAACAAATGTGATATTTTTTTAATTTTCATCTTCACTTCTAATAATACCTATCAAAATTATCTTTAATGCAAAAATGTCCTTTCCGTTTATCACGCTCGTATACAACGGAAATGGCTCGCTATATTATAGCAAATGCAAAATTTGTTCACCAGGCTTTCCAGGTTCTCCTTTTCCACCAAGTGGTCCACGAGGTCCTCTTCTTCCCTTATAGCCCGGTAAACCAGGTCGTCCCGGTGGGCATTGTGAGCATGGACCTTTTTTCAAACTTTCATATACTCCTACAATACCTTCTTTTCCAGGTAATCCATCCATACCATTCTCTCCTGAAAATGCCATTGTAAAATGCTCTAAATAATTATCGATTAACTTTATTAAAGTTTAAATGATATTTTTTGAAATTTCCTCCATTATCATCATTACATAATTATGTTTTAAAATTTTATTTTCACCTTTAAAATCAATGTTTACAAAAATCGCTCACAAACGATTAAACATTTAATAACCTCTTTCACCCGGTTCACCAGGTGGTCCAACTGGTCCCCGAGGACAACCATTTTGACTTATCACACGACCTGGTTTACCTCCATTCTCATATCCATTCTTTTTTCCATTTCTTTCTTCTTCACCGTATCCACCTTTGCCTTCTTCTACACTTTTTCTATCATCATTTTCTTCACCATTATCATCTATAAAAAAAATTTGAAAGTTTGACGATTGTAGAAAAAGAAAGAAAGAAGAATATACAAAACTATTTTCCATTTCCCTTTCAAAGTAAATTTTATTAAGGAAAAGATAAAAGAATAGATGTTGACCAAAATTATACAAATTAATAATAATTAATTAATAAATCTAAATTAAATAAATACAAAGATAATAAAGAAATCTCGGATACACTGTGATCTATTTCGTCGTACTGAACGACTTATGCGTATTTGTTGATTTTGTTGCATTAAATAATTCCAAATTGTATTAGACATAGTTTGATAATGATCACGATGTAATGTTAATTCCTCTTCCATTTGTGCTATATCATTTAAGATTATCGGAAATATTATAATCAATGCGATAAATGCTATTCCGCATAAGGAAGCGGCAATAGTAGCAGGAGTATGCAATCGATATTGTTGCATTTTCCTGCAAAAAATGAAAGAAATCGAAATCGGAATATATTTAAACTTTCCAATATTTTAATTTTAGGTATTCCTGAACAGGAAATCAGGAATGATTGAAAATTTAAAAAATTACCAGTACATTAAGAGTATATTAAAAATTTTGCTTAAATATCAATTTAATTTGCGAACTAAAATTTAAGTTTTCCAATATTTTAATTTTAGGTATTCCTGAACAGGAAATCAGGAATGATTGAAAGTTTAAAAACTTACCAGTATATTAAAAGTATATTAAAAACTTTGCTTAAATATCAATTTAATTTGCGAACTAAAAATTTACCATGTAACAGTAGTAGTATAAATACTGGATCATATTCATGATTGTAATCTGATCGCAATGTTCTTTTCCTTGCTCCTCCTCTTTTACCCTTTGCCCCGTATTCTTTCCTATTTTTTTTATACAAAAAAACGGAATTTAAATACGAAATCGGATCAAATGATTAAAACGCACATCCGGTTCTATGATCATTCTTTTTTTTCAGCCGTTTTTCTTCATCACTTCTATCTCATCAATTCGTTTTCTCATTTCACCCAGAAATTCAATTTCTCCCAAAATGACATATAAATAATGATAATTAATGAGGGAAAAGGTATAAGTGAGATTTAAAATTGAGGAAAAAACGAAATATGGGAAAAAAAAAATAATTAGTGATAGGATTTTAATTTAAAAATACAAATTTTCCCGCAACAAGAAAATAAAGAAAGAACGAAAGGAAAATAATTAATTAAACTGTCAAATGTTTGACGGAATTAAATGTTGAAATTTTAAGAAAAACAGAATAAAGAATTTCGTATTATTATTTTTCCTCTTTACCATTCAAAGAAATAAGAAATGAAGTGAAGTGAAGTGAGTGTGAGTGTGAGTGAAATTTTTCTTATCGTTTTAATATCATTGAATATTGAAACGAACAGCTGTCAATTATTTTCATCTTCTTTCTTTTCCTTGTTTGGATAAAATTAAAATGAAATGGATACATTCCTATTTATTTACAAAAAAAAAAGGAAACAATAAATAAATAAATTAAACAAATCAAATGAATTTTAAAAAGTGCAATTGTTTTTGCAAAGATTTTTCTAAAATAGGTCAAATGAATATCGAACTTCATCCATATCATATCATACATAAAATCAGTTTAGGAATTTCTTGTAAAACAGAATGAAAAAAAAAGTATGATGTACTTTTTTTAGCATATTTATATTTAATATATAATATATTTAATATTTAGTATATTTATATTTAATATATAATATATTTAATATTCAGTATATTTATATTTATTTAGTATATTTATATTTAATATTTAATATATTTAATATTTAATATATTCATATTTAATGGTATATTTATTGTGACAAATAATGCTAAATTAAAATTGAAATAATTATGAAAAGCTAAAAATAAATGATTACAAATTAAATTGACATAAAATTTTCTTTCTTTTTTAATCTTTTCTTAATTTGAAAATTTTCAAATTGCCTTTAACTTTTATGTAACCATTACTGTAGTAAAAAATTTATTAAGGAAAAATCTGAAATTAGCATCAAAGTTTTAATAAAATTTCAAATAGCGAATGAAAGCATTCTGAATAGCAAAAACAAGGATTCTAAATGGCGAGAAAGGAGTTCTGGATAGCGAAAAAAAGATTCTAGGTAGCCCAGAAGAGAGATTCCAAACAGTGAGAAATTTTTCAGTTGATAAATGAAAGTTAAAAAACTTACCGAATATTCCTAATTGATCTAATATTTCATTTGCTGGGCAATCATATTGTTTTGGTTAGTAATGGCCATCCGAAAATAGATAAACAAGGAAATATAAGAATTGAAAATTCAATGATGGTAAAATGAATTCCTTTTTATTCAATTAGCAGTTTAACAATTAATTTACAATGCTCAGTAGAG